AGATTTGATATGACAGATGTTAGCCTCATGTCATTATTTTTGGATATAGAAGTGTATCAGAAAGATGATGACATTTGGATATGTCAAAAGAGGTATGCAAAAGTGTTACTTGAAAAGTTTAGGATGAATCATTGCAATAGTGTGTCAACACCAATACAAAATGGAGTTCATTTCATAAAAATAAGGAGAAGGAAAATTAGCTGATCTGACATTGTACAAAGTTTGCTTGGTAGCCTCATATACTTAATAGTGATGAGACCTGATATTGTGTACTGTGTGGACATCTTGAGCAGATTCATAGAGAATCCAATGGAGTCTCATGTGCTCCAAGTAAAGTTGTAGCACCAATATAAAACACATATCCACTTACGCTCTTTCTTGTGGTAAAGAGGATTCTTAGATATATCAGTGACACATTTGAGTTTGTCCTTCATTATCAGTGTAGTGGAGACGTGAAGTTACTTAGATATTGTGACAGTGATTGGGCAAATGATCATGAGGAAAGAAAGAACATAAGTGGATATGTGTTTTATATTGGTGCTACAGCTTTACTTGGAGCACACAGAAGCAGAAAGTTGTAACATTATGTACATATGAGGATGAGTATATAGCAGCGATGGCGTGACTTGTGAAGTAATGTGGTTAAAGAATTTGTTGAAGGAATTTTATGGAGATATTGATGAAGCTACAAAAATTTATGTGGACAATAAGTTGGCGATCACATTGGCCAAAAAATCTAGTACAATATGGCAGGAGTAAGCACATTGATGTGCGTTATAATTTTATCAGAGATGCATTAAAGATGGGTCAGATTAGCATGGAGCACTGCAATACAGAGGATCGGGTAGCCAATTTCTTCACTAAAGCTTTGCTGACACCAAGGTTTGTGAAGCTACTGAAGATGCTTGGGATGAAGAAAGTCTTGGTTTGAGGGGGAGATTATTGGATATTTATCAAACCAAGCATCGTTTAATTTTAGTTTTTTTTTATTTTAATTATTTGTAGACAATTTTAAAAATTAGTTTTGTGTGTCTGTGTGTATTAGTATTCCAAAGAAAAACATATTACTGTTCTCTATTTTTATTTTTCCCGTGAAGGTTTATTGAAAAAAAGAGTTTTTTTTTTGAGTTTTTTTCTTCTTCCATTTTCTCTGTTCCATTTTTCTTCCATCAGAAATCGGCCACCACCTGGATCTCTGTCCAAGATACAGAAAACAAAAATAAGAAGAGCCTACTGGAAAAAGACAACACCCTTTTTGGTTATTGGATCACACTTCTTGACTGCTGGAAGGAGAAATAAACCACCAAATTCAAGAGATGAAAGATTGGAAGCTTGAAGAGAAATCAAATTGGTTTAGCCATTTGGCGTAATGATCTTCTTGGGATAAACCACCCAAACACGATTTTCACAGAGGAGGAAAAACTCTGATGGTTGAACTCTTAAGTGCGAGTGGGGATTGTTGTTGGTAGTGGGAGAGGAATGGGTTACTAGTTGTTGGACATGACAAGCACAACAAACCAAAGAATGAAACCCTGAAACTTGGAGACTACTTGTGTCTGGCTCTGATACAAATGACATTGGACTAGAAGGCTACTTGACAACTCCTTGTTGACGATCCATTGATCGTGACCAAGCACAACTCCAAAAACTCCTACTTGAAATAAATCAGTACCTGAATGAACTTCACGATACATAAAATAGAAACCAAACTAAACTCAAATCTTATTTATCCCTTTTCATTACAAGACAACAACTCTTATTTATAGAATTTGTAGGCTGCATAAAAGGCAGTAGGCCTTAAATATATATATAAACTATCTAATTATGTGGCAAAAACATGGACTGAAAATTATAGTAAAAGAATCGAGCAAAATCTCCGACATCAATAAGTTCCATTTTTTATATTTATGTAGGGGCTATTTAGTTTTAACTATTATGAGTGCAATATAAATGTAATGTGAGAATTTTGGGCATTTTGTGCAAGGTTTGAAATAAATGAAGAATGTTTGATGGATATGATAATTTTTTTTTAAATTTATTTAATATATGCTTAACTTATGGCGCTCATGATTGAGTCATTTGATTTAACTTTCCATAATTTGAAGAAATTAAAAGTACTTAAGTAATGGATTATGTACCATAAAACGTTATAATTTGAAATTATAAACATCCACAATGTTGCGGATCTATGGTTTATGATTTTGATGATAGCAAATATTCCTTATTTCTCTACGATTGCCTTATGTGCTAATGTTTCAGGTCCACACGATTAGACTGCAATTTGGAACCAGCTCAAGATTGGGTAGACTAGGTCTGAGTCAGTTTGTAATCTTTTTCTTTTCTTGAGTCTGTTGTATGTGTTGTGGGACCTATTAATTTGTAACTTGGAAGATTTCCTGATATTCCCTAAAAGATTTCTATTTTTGGTAATATCAACCGGGACGATATGTCCAAAATCAAAAACCTGAATTAGGGCATCCTCATTAAGGCAGCCGTTATAAACACATCGGCCTGGACGATACTTATATCGGCCAGGATGATATTCTCAATTCAGAAAGAATCAAACGCCATAATCAGTTTAGGTATTCTTTATTTTAGGAAATCAGCCAGAATTGATCTAGTATTATTTGGAAATCATTAATGGCTGATTGATACAATCACATTGTCCGGGACGACGATCTTATGATCGGTCAGGACGATGGCCTGGACGATTGACTTCGGCTAGCACGAAATCAGGGCGATGATCAGGACAATTAAAATCAGTTTTAAACTAATCGGCCAGGACGATTGTGAGATCGGCCAGGATGATATAACCAATTTTCTTCTGATCGTCCCAAATCGTCCCAGGCCGTTGAGCTGAATTTGAACTAATCGGCCATAATGATATGCCTATCATCCTGGACGATAATGTCAGCAACTTGCATTAATGAGCTCATTTTGAGAGCTTCTATTTAAGCTATGGTATGGCAACTTTTGTAAGAGTCTTTGGCAACCATTGTAGCTTCGTTCTTGTGGGAGAAACTTGAAGAGAGAGCTTGAAAGAGAGAGAGGAAAGGGTGGAGTTTGAGAGGGATAAGATCCTGTGAAGGGGGGGGGGGACTCAAGGGAGTGTGGAGGGGATTCCACACGGTTGCTCCGGCGAACTCGCACCTTTGTACCATCGGATTCAAGGCTTGTCTTGAGGTAAGTTCACCAAAGAAGAAGATCTCCTTGGTGTCAAAAGACCCGGCGACTACGCCGCATCGGGGAAGGTGGAAGTGATTTTGTAAGGGCTTCTCCGCCTAGCTGTGGGGGCTAAAGTAGAGTCACGATTTTAGTGCAATACTTGGAGGGTGCCTCCAAGAAAATTCTTTCTTTATTACTTCCACACTTTAATTTCCGCATCGTTGATTTTCTATGTGGTGATATTGGTTTTAGTTTGAGTTTTGGTTTAAATATTCTTCTTTTTGAATTCACTTCTCTCTTTGTTAGCCTTGGACCAGTTCTATAGGGCTTAACATCCCTAACGAACTTTCAAGTGGTATCAGAGCACTGTCTAGTGTCATCTGAGCACTTTCACACAACTCAAGAAAATCATTTTTTTCACAAAAGGGGAATTTTATTGCAACAAAAATAAAAAGTACAAAGTTCTTAAAGGGATAAAAACTCGCTAGTGCTCAATGAGCCACATAAAGATCCAAAGCCCCATGCTATTAATATGCACATTTAAAGTCTTTTCTTTTATTAACGAGTTGCTTCTTGCCTTTATTGATATAGTTTATTAAAACATGATTATAATTGATTCACATTGAAACTAGGGTACTATTAGAGAGTGGATTTTGCCTCAAAATTCTCATACTTCATATGGGTATCAATATTTTACACAACCCGAAACCCGATTCAGACTCGGCCAAAAAATTTTTGAGTTTGGCTCAATTCGTTTGATAAACGGGTCAGGTTCGGGTTCAAAAAGTTAACCCATTTGAAAAACTGGGTTGGGTTTGGTTTGACCCAGAAACCAAAAAGTGACACGGTTAACTCGTTTAGAAAACCCTATGTGTAGTTATTCTCATGTTCCATGATTTGACCTGTTCACGAGCCTACACAAGCAACACAGCTCACGCGATGCGGTTTTGCCTGTCATCTTCTACTCGCATAGCTTGTCTAGCCATCTGACTTCTGATGTTTACTAGGTTGTGACTCCAGCTTGTCCGACAGCCCGTCCTCTATTGTTTTTTGTCTGCCTGTTCACACATCCTAAACTCCACCTTCAAAGCTCCTCCGATAGTCTGATGTCTGCAGTTCAAACAGCTCGTCCCCGAGTTAGCAGGTCGGATTGGGTCAACTTAGTAACCCGTGCAGGTCAGGTCCAGCTTGGATTTACTAACCCATTTGCAAAAAAGGGTCGGGTTAGGGCCAACCAGTTTAGACCTAGGTTAATCTGGGTTCGACCTGAACCTGACCTGTGGACTTATTTTGACACCCCTATTACGTCATATGATGCTTAAGAAGTTACTTTGGATGATAATAAGTCTTCAAATTATATAGACTGGTAAATATGTAAATCAAGCTACTGAGATGTTGATTGAAGTGGACATTAAAGAAGACTTCATATAAATAACAAAATGATAATATAAGGGATGAGTTAAATTAATATTGATTCAATATAAGATAACATATCCAAAAACTTAATAACCATTCATTCATTCCTCTCAAAATCTATGAAATCAAATGTTTGGTGGATGTACATGAAGTTGAAGAAATGATTTTTTCTTTTAATTGTAGTGCATAATGATGCAATAACTATTTTGTACTGTAATATATCAGGATTATGAATTCTTTCTTTTAGATGTATTTTAAACTTATAAAATTAGCATGATTATTTTTTTATTTTTATAGAAATTATTGGCTATTTAATTCTGGATATTTTTATTAATAAGTCTTTTAGTTTTAATATTCATGATTACATTAATAAAAATAATTAATTATTCTGTAGTTTTATTTATATGAGAAACCAGAAATTGCAGAGCGCACTGCTGAACTATTTTTTTGCAATTGTTTTTCACTTCTAATTCAAATTTACAAACTAATCCAACGCGTTTTGCTTCCTCTAATCAGATATTACATAGGCCCCCACCTCCTGAAGCCTGGGCACAAGCTTTCCACTTAGATGGAGCGCCATAAGCCCTTCGAGTCCTCCGATCGGCTTTCCCCCGATGAACAACGCCGGAAGTATCCCAACGGCGGATGCCGCCGCCGCCTCCGCCTCCTCTAATTCGATCACAGTCGCGTGCACGCCTACCGTCGCCAGTAACCTCTTAATCACATGACACATACAGCATGATCTCCGGCTGAAGACAACCACTGGATTCTCCCTTATCATCGATTCCATCCTCTTCTCCGGCGGCTCTCCGCCGTCGATAGTCAGCGCCACCACCCTCCTCTTCACGCCCTCCATCTTTCTTTTATATAGACACTTAATTCGACTTCTCTAAGAAAATAATGTGGGCGAGGTAAACGACGTGGTGGAGAATTATAGAGGAATGAGTTATATAAATTTTAATTGCAGGGGATTCACGTGGGGTGACGTCACCGATTGGTGAGAGAATAGCGTGGACTTGGGCATCCTGCACGTGATCCTAGCGCGTCCCCTTCCATTGGGAGCGAGCTTCGCGATGCCGTTACCGCCCCCACCCCACTGTACGCCACATTCAATTGTTTAATGTTTATTGTGGTGCCTATAAAGCGGTGACGTCACCAAGATAAAGCTCCGAAGGTTGATTTATGCCGGGCGATGAGGCCACCCCACCAACAAGGGAGGAGAGCACTCACCCAGCATCCACGTGGAGCTTCGGTGACCGTCGACGTCTATTTAAAGATTGGTGGGCCGTTCCATAGATATCTGATGTCACTGATGACTGATTTATTTTGCAATTTTATATTTGCTATCAGAAAATGTATACTAAAAATTATTTTAATTCAATTTAATAGATAAATCAATCACAATTTAAAGATTCTTATTTTTTTATTTGAAAATTAATTTGTAGTGATCAATTTCAAGATAAGGATATCATACGTGGCGGTAGAGAAATACAAAATTCAACTTCTTAACATTGTACGAAAATCCTGCACGCAATTAGAAAAGAAAGAAGGTGTAGCATTTATGAAACATCAATATTTTATGTGGAAAATTCCTGAAAGGATGAAAAATCACGGGGTTTAGCCTAGTTTGAATGAATCCACTGTTATTTGTAGTTGATTATAAATGAGACACTTCCTTAGGGGAAAGGCATTGGCTCAATGTACATTATATGAAGTACATGGTATGAATATAAAGAGTCACTGTTGACATGTTCGTTTAGTCGGAAGGACCGTAGTCGATCGACGACGTAAGTCAGAAAGACCGTAGTCAATGGGTAACGGAGGTCGGTAGGACCGTTGTCTGACGATGGAGGTCAGAAGGAAGGCGTCAGATATAAATCTGGCAACGAGCAGAGGTCCGGAGTTGGGTAGAAGTTCGTCGTCAGTCGGTGGCCGGGTAGAACTCCAGCGTTAAATGGTATTCGGGCAAAACTCCAGAGTTACTTAGAGATCGAACATAATTTCGAAGTCACTTGGAGATTGGGCAGAGTTTTGACATCACTTGAAAGTGTGGCAGAACTCCGGTGTCATTTGAAAGTTGGGCGTAACTCCGACGTCACTTGAAAGTCAGGCGGAACTCCGGTGGTGGTCAAGGAGTTTCTTCCATCATCTTCTTCTCTTTTTTTCTTCTTCTTCTTCTTCTTCTTCTTCCTTGGGTGTCCTCTTAAGAGAAATGAGAGGCTATTTATAATTTTATGAGAGTGACATGACTCGTAAATAGAGGGAGGATAATTGGAAAAAGTGGAGTGGTTTGGATGGACGGTCGATATTGAATCCCTAGAATGTGGACTGTTCGTCAGACATTTAAAGGTCTTAATGATATCGGAATTTGGAGGTCTTAGGCTTATTGGAATCGTCTAGTCGAGCCACTCAACTTGATTACAAGCATGTCATGTTTTGAAGCTGCTTGGTAATCCAAATTGTGGTTCAAACCTTATAATAGTGCTTTGAGTCTTCAATTCGGACACATTTAGGCTCGAATTGAGTTGAATTTGGTGTCATTAGGTTCATATTTCCGAGACGCTAAGTTCTACTATAAGTTTGATGAAATCGAAGTTCAGATGATCCCAGATTTAGTTTTTGAAGTTTCCAACTTGATTTTTGCTTTGAGATTCGTGTCTGATCAAGATAATTTTTTGATGATATAGTAGTTTGCCCTCCTATTTTTGGATGTTAAAGCTTATAGAGTCTAAAAATATATGTCATGACACTTCAAATCGATCGAATGTCGAAAAATTGCATTCCAAAAAATGTTACTTCTCTTAAACTTGATCTTAATAGTCCTATTGAGCTCCGAAAGTATTAAAATTGAGTCCAGAACGTCAAAAAATATATCTGGGGACCCCAAAAATTTTTTATTTTGACTATCCGGGCCCAAAATCGGAGCCCAGATGCGTTTAGGCGGCCGAACCGACCGAGCGACCCGCGTGTTTCACGGGCAAAAGGGCTCTCCCATTTTGGGCGCGCGATAGTTTTTTTTAAATCCAAAAAATCTATAAAAAATCTTAATAAATTTAAAAAAAAAACTCAAAAAATTTCCAAAAATTTCAAAAAAATTCTAGAAGATTTTAGAAGCTTTCTTTCTCCCTAAAAGTGTTATAAATACCCTATTGGGCCAAGGGAGAAATTGCTCCTTCTTCTTTCTTCTCTCTTTGATTTCTTACAGTTGAGCCTTTCCACTATTTTTTCGTAGGTGACTTTTCCTACGAAAAATTAGTGCCCCTCTCCTTGAATAGAAGCTATAATTTATGTAGCCTTTCCTTTCCTTTCTCCCCCATTTCTTCTTGCTCTAGAGGCCTTCCACTATTTTTTGTAGGTGATTTTCCCTACTTAAATTCAGTGCCCCCTCTTTAGTGTAGAAGGAAATTTTTTGTAGTCATTCTTTTTCTTTCTCCCCCGCGTTCTAACTTTCTTATAGTTGAGGCATTCCCCTATTTTTAAAGGCGGCATTTCCTACTAAAATTCAGGGCATCTCACCTTGAGTAAAAGTTGGAATTTTTGCAGTTGTTCTTTTTCTTTCTTCTCTCGTATTCTAACTTTCTTATAGTTGAGGCATTTCTTTATTTTTATAGGCGGCATCGCCTACTGAAATTCAGGACCCCTCTCTTTGTATAGAAGTTAGAATTTTTTATCTTCCTCTCCATATTCTTCTCCTCTAATCTTCTTCTTACATTGGAGGAATTCCACTATCATGGATAGGCGACATTCCCCTATCAAGCTTTAATGCCCCTCTCTTATGTAGAAGAAGTCACGATGATAAGCTATCTTCTTAATAGATAACCCTTGATATAATAAGATCAATTATTGCTTGTATGCGAGGGTGATTTAAGAAGATCTGGCGGTAATAGTACTCGAGAGGAGAATCAGAAGTTATCTGTAGATGGAGAGAATTTTGACACTATTTGAGCAGAAGACTATTGGCGATGGGCGATCAATTTGAAGTGCATTGGAAGTCAATGATCGAGTACAGTGTTGAAGGAGAGAGTTATAGTGTGTAATGCTATCAGTAGTTGAGCGAGAAGTCAATGATTGCTAATATGAAGTAAGGGTCCGCCGGTAGACATCAAATAAAATCCCAATGATGGCTGGTGTCTAGTGGCATTTTAACAAGGCAATATACATCCATACTGATGTGTACAGATATCATATATCTTTTATGGAAGGGGTCAAAGTAGTATAATATGTTAGTAGTTTGGTGACACACTTATAGTGCCAACTGAGTTGAGGCCTGCTAAAGATTAGATTGTAATCTTTCTTTATAAAAGAAGTTGTAAGAGATACTTTTTTTCATTTAAAATATATTTGTCCCCTAGAGCAAAAACTAAGTTATTTATGTATCTATGAGATATGCTTTGATATATTATATGATGTGCTTTTTTGAAGCTTTTTAGCCTATTAAGATCTTCATATGAGTAATAGTTTTATCATTCACTTGCTTTCATGAAATCTTTAAAGAGAGAATGTTGTTTACTCATAAAATTGATTGATAATATTGACTTTTGTGGAAGAGGTCCAAAGAACCCACAATGGATTTATAATCTTTTCGAGGTTATAAGTTTGAGCACTACTCGATGACGTTAGCCTATGTGGAAGAAGTTGAGAGAATCCACCCATGATGTAAGACCTATATGAGTTTGTATGTCAGAGCCCTATTCGATGACGTTAACTTATATGGAAGAGGTCGATAGAATCCACCCATAATGTAGGACTATCTGATGTTATATGTCAGAGACCTGCTCGATTAAGTTAACATATATGGAAGATATCCAAAAAATCCATCAAAGATTATGACCTATTCGAGGTTGTATATCGGAGTATTGCTCAATAACGTTAACCTATATAGAAGAGGACCATAAAATCCACCATAGATGTATGACCTATCTGAGGTTATATATCAGAGTACTACTCGATAATATTAACCTATATAGAAGAGGTCAAGAGAATTCACCAAAAATGTATGACATATCCAAGGTTATATGTCAAAGCCTTTGCTCAATGATATTAACCTATAATGAAGAGGTCAAGAGAATCCACCAAGGATGTATGACTTATTCGATGATGTATGTCAAAGCCTTTATTCGATGATGTTAACCTATATAGAAGAGGTCGAGAGAATTCACCAAGGATGTATGACATATCCGAGGTTGTATGTTAAAGCCTTACTCAATGAAATTAACATTTGTGGTAGAGGTAGAATTGAATCCTCGTGAGATTGATTTTGCTTTGATTAGGAGGGGGCGAACGCCATGTGTATTCTGAATCAAAGGTAAAGAATGGTCCATCTTTAGACCATTACTGCCTTTTTGAGGTTGAAATTAATAACTTGCCTAATGAGTAGAAGTCTAGAAAGGAACTGTATAAAGCTTGTAATCTTTGCATTTGCTAGAAACTTTATGAAAATATTTTTCCAAAATATCATCTTAGATGTTGAAAATATTGGAGGAATATTGTTGAATGTTGCTGCAGTCAAGGTTGCCCCCCCTGCCAAAATCTAATTTCCATGAATTTGAGTGAGAATTGGTTGATGTCAAGATATTAACATAAACCACTTTCGAGATTGGAACAATAGGTTCCCCCTAGTCAGGAACGATGTTCCCACAGACGGTGCCAAACTATTGCATCTTGGATTATTCATGGAGGTAGAAAAATATTAAATTTAACATCTAAACTTTGTACAAAAAATCCGCACGCAATTAGATAAGAGAGAGGGTGTAGCATTTATGAGACACCTAGATTTTTATATGGAAAACCCCTAAAAAGGAAGAAAAATCATAGGCCCTAGCCCAGTTTGAATGAATCTATTATTTGCAATCTATTACAAATGAGGCCCTTACTCAGAAGAAAGACCTTAGCTCTATGTACATTATATGAAATATACGGTGGGAATATAAAGAGTCACTGTTGATATATTCATTTGGTCTGAAGGACTGTATTCGATGGGCGATTGAAATTAGAAGGACCGTAGTTAATGGGCGACGGAGGTCGG